GAAAAGAGCACATAATATTAAATGCTGGTTTCCTTAAACTTGCAATTTCATCTGGGTCACATGTAACATATACACATACATAAAAATTGTTTTCAGATACATACAATTTGTGTTGTTTATTAGCCTCATGCAGTTGCAAAGTATATATGTGCAAAGAGGTTCTCTCAAAGCTGGCTCACTAAAATTGGCAATCCTGCATAGAAGCAATTTGGAAAAGAGTGAAGTTTGGAAGAAACCTTCGGTCTGACCTAATACCCTTCAGAATGATTATTTAATTCCCTTTTCTAAACCTATTTTTTCCCCCTCAGAGTTTCCCATATGACTTTAATGTAAATCCTGAGATAGGCTCTACACAGATCAGGCGTCACAGAGAAGTGTCCACAGGCCCGGAACCCACTCCTTCCTCTTCCCCTTGTGAGGCTCTGCCTGACCGCCAGGTGCATGATGAGATACCAAGGACACTCTCCAGCTCTACATTTTGCTAAAAGAGCTGTAAAATAGCTACATTTACATGCCATCAAAGTAGCAGCAAAGGTACTGCAAATCTATTTTTTAAAAAGGTATACTTACGATATGCTGATACATAAGCGCTTTGAATTTTTGCCAGGAAGGTATTAATCAAGCCTGGCCTGTCGCTTTGTTACAGTCCAGTTTTTCTCTTAGCAATAATTTTCAAATGAGATTAATATTGGAAATCTCAAAAAATTGAGGCTATTTGAGCTAAAAGTAGATACTAAAATCCAAACATAATTTCATAGATCATCTGATCTAGTAGGCATACTGAAGCCTAGAGAGATAAAAAGGATTTCCCTAAATCACATAACTAATCAGTAGCAGAACTGTTGAATCGTCTTGGGACTCTTGGTCTAGAGTTCAACTTGGAATGCACCAGAGAAGGGCTTGTGTCTACTGTCATAGATTTTTTTGCATGCTCATTAGCATGGCTGAAAAGTAGCGGAGACCACAGCTGATTCCCAGGCATCCATGATTCAGAATGGGAAGATGGTATCTCTCAGGAAAAATGCACCTGGAGTCTTTTTATTTTTCAGGACATACAAACATTTTCTTAAAGCAAAAAACTGGCCATTATGCAAATCATTCTGGCCTAGTGTTCTTGCAAATTTTATTCATGCTAAAATTAAAACATAGAAGTAGATTTTGTTCACTTACATTGTAATATGTTTCTCCAAATTGCAGTGATAGCCCTTCAAATATCAGCTGTGTGGTGGTGTTGTAGCTACTGCTGTCTCTGTGCTGCTTTTTTCTCATTCTTAGTATGGACATGAGAGGATCTGACCCTTCCTAGCTTCTAATATACAATAGTTGCATAGAAGAAATGAGATAACTTGTAATATTTTTTTGTTTTAGATTTTTTTAAAGATTTATTTATTTTTTAAAGATTTATTTATTTATTTATACAAGCACTGGGTACAGTCAGCAGTGCAGGAGGGTGAGAGAATTCACCAGAGCCAGAGCAGGGAGCAGAACAGGCAGACTGACGAAATACATTGCTGAGGGGAGCAGCGGGCATGGCAGGAGAGGTCTGCGTGCCACGTGGGCCCCTTGCTAGTGGCCTGGGATCGAACCGGTACTGCAGAGGCTGCGGGCAGCTTTGCAGCCCAGCGCTCAACCGCTGCGCCACCGGGGAGTCCCTAAAGATTTATTTTTTATTTATACAAGAGCTGGGGTACAGGCCAGAGGCGCGGGAGGGTGAGAGGATTCACCAGAGACAGAGCAGGGAGCAGAACAGGCAGATGGACCACACACTGATGAGGGGAGCAGCGGGCAAGGCAGGAGAGGTCTACCACGCCAGGTGGGTTGTTCCCTGGCCGGCTGGGAATCGAACCTATGCTGCAGAGGCTGCAGACAGCTTCACAGCACTGCGCTCAACCCGCTGCACCACCAGGGAGGCCCGATAACTAGTATTATTTAAAAATTAAAAGACATGTTAAAATACCTGTGAACTGTACAACCTTTAGACAAGAGTAAGAATGGAACTACCACTCATCCTCACTGTACAGCTTTAACAGGCTGACTGGTCTCTTTGAGGTCTCATTTTAGGTGAATGGTTGAGTGAACCTTTCCATCATTCTCAGTCACTTGGTGGCCCTTTTCTGGGCTAAATTCAAAATACAACATCTCTACGATATTTTATTTTTCTTGTTCCCTGTGTCTTGAGTGGAAAGCTCCAGAAGGGTGCAGTGATTACCCAATGATGTAAAATTTTCCAAAGATTTAGAGAACCAAAGTCAGCCTGGTGAGAAAGCAAATAAAGAAAATACTAAAATAACATTGAGGGCAGAGGGCCCCATAGAACCTGCCAAAAAGATATGAAGTTTGATTAGAATAATTATTTTAATTGAATTATCATTTTAAATCAATTAAAAGGAAAGATTTCAATGGAAGGATGCCAGACTCCACGCATGGAATCCATTTGTTGGGCAGCATGTTGGGAGTCTACATGATTGCGGGGTACACTCATGCCCTCTTTAATAAACACACTCACACACATTCTCAAAACTTCTCACATTTGATTTTCACACCCAAGTCTGCAGACCTCAGCTCTGCTGAGCCCTGTAATGGGATAACTCAGGGTGATTATATGGTTTAGTAAATATCCATAAATTAAGGACAGTGTTTGAAGCCTGCCAATAACGACCACAGTTTCTCAGAGGAGTGAATTAATTCTTACTAAGAATTCCAGTGAAGGCAAGCAAGGACAGAGATTAACTCCCTCTATATCTCCCCTTCCATAATTGCTTACCTTCCCGGTCCCTCCCAGGACACTGAAAGTGTTTCATGTAATCTCTGGGTCTCGACAATAATGTACTTCGAAAAGGAGGCTGATTATGTTGACTGAAATCCATCCTGGCAAAAGGCTTTCGCTGCAGCTGGTTCCATTTACATTTTGTATTTTTGGAGCTTGTGCCTGTTCCAGGGAGGGATGGGATAATTGATTTAAATCAAATTATGAAATGTGATACTCTGAATTCCTAAAAACATGTTTCCTGGCACTGCATTCAGCAGTGGAGCCCTCGCAGGTACGTTGGAATGGGATGGGTGAGGCTGAGCTTCGTGTGTGTGTGTGTGTGTGTGTGTGTGTGTGTGTGTGTCTGAGAGAGAGAGAGAGAGAACACGCGAGAGCAAGCGAGCTGACTTCATACTCTTAGAACTTGGACCAGGGTCTGTGCCTGAAACCATTAAGAGAGGCCGGTTGCCCTTTGTCATAGGTGAGAAACAACTGTCATATTGCCACTGTTCCTCTCACTAAGCACAGCCATTGATTTTAATGGTGAGCTTCTTGAGTTTCATTTCTTTGATCATGAAGCTGAAATTAAAGACTGTACATTGCGTAAATGACAAAGGAAATAGATGGAGGCTCAGCAAAAGATGCTAATAACTTTAAGACTTCACTGCATCACACATTCATTTCCATTTGGAAAGACAATTTGCCTCCTAGATTTTAAAAGCTATTTTAGAACGGTTTCAAAATCAAGATCCTTAATGTTGCTTTGCTCCCATCTGTAGCCTAAATTATTTGTAATTAAGTTAAATAGCTTCATATAAATAGTAGACCTATGCAGTCGGGGAATGATTGTTTCACATATATCCATGCTTTGTGGAATTGTGAGTAGCAACAGCATCATTGAAAAGCAGCCCCCACTCTTATTTGATGCAGATCTTTAATGTGGAATTTCTGGAAATGATTCTCCAAACATTATCAGAGCTTCACTGTAAACCCTGCGTTGAACAAGACAGCCACATCCAAATTTCACCTTTGTAACTTACTAGTTCTGCAACTTTGGGCAAAATAGTTAACCGCTCTGTGCCTCAGTTTCCTTTTTTGCAAAATAGAAGTCATAATACCAACCACAGGAGCTAATGCATAAAGTTCTTACAACTCTTATCACGTAGCAAGGCTGTTATTTCCCTTTTCAGTCGTTATTGAAGAAATAATAACATCTGCCCTGACCATCTATAGTTCCTGGAGTATTTCCAGCCTTTTATATGGGTGGCTTGTTGAGCCTTGCTGTTTGCATTCACATGAGTAATTTCTGGTAACTTAGGCCAGGCCAAGGACATCTTGGGAGGGTTGGAAAGTCTCGTAATGTAGATTCCTTTGAGCTGTGGGGTTTTACTTCACTGGAGATGTAACCCAACAAAAGGGTGGACCTTTTTGAAAACCCCATCTTGACTGACCCTACATTTATTTATGTGTTAACTTAAGAAGAAACATGGACTTCTCAAAACAGGAATTAGCTTCAGAATACCAATGCTTGCCCTGTTGCCAACTATTATAGTCCAGCCAGAAAAGTATATTACTTCTTCTGGATTCTCTTCAGCAGTTATCCCAGGTTTGGCTCTGCAAGGCTTTTTTTCCCTAAAAAAAAAAAAAAAGTCATATATGACAACTGTTAAACTTTTTAGGTAAACTCAGACACGAAACTCTGACCTGACATATAGCAACCCCTGGGCCTTGGGAAAACCAAGGCAATTCTGGAAAAGTCTTGAGATAGGGTAGGGAAAAAAGATATACAACTTTGCCTTTTATGACAGGAATTTAATGAAACAGTAAAACCCAACCTATAGTTCACCTCTTTAAAATAGAAATATTATATAAAATTAAGTACTTAGGATTATTAAATCATTATTAAAATTAATTTTGATCTAAATTATGCATACACTTAAAAATCAGATGGCGCTAGGTAACATGTAAGAGAAAGCTATCTCTTTATAGAAATATTTCAAGTAATAAAAAGATATGATAGAATTAGACAATAATGATTTTGAAATTTGGATGCATCTAGATAAGAGGTCAGCAACTTTTTTGCAAAGGATCAGATTACAAATATTTTAGGTTCTGTGAGTCATATAGTCTCTGTTGTAACTACTCAAGTCTGCATTTGAAGTGTAAAATCATCTGTGGGCAATATGTAGACAAGTGGACATGATTAATTCCAATAAAACTTTATTTATAAATATAGAGTACACTGGCTGGATTTCACCTTTAGGCTAGAGTTTGCAGATCCCTGATATAGATACTGATTATCAATGTCTGATAACATCACAATATAAGAGACAGTAGGGTCCGGGCAAGATGATGGTAGAGTAAATATGTTGGGCTCACTTCCTCTTGCATATTCACAGCTAGATTACAGCATAACAAAGCCAAAATCTTCTGAAAGAAAAAGAGACAATTACAGCACACATTAGGAATAATATCCACAGGAGGAAATCCCCAGCAAGCAGTGGAATCTACACTATATACCACTATATATATACACACACTATATATATATATATATATATATATATATACACACACTATATATATATATATATATATATATACACACACACATATATATATAGTGGAATCTATACTATACCACTATACCACAGTATACCACAGAGAGAAAGATGGGCCAAGCAAGAAATCTTACAGGTATGTGGGGTGAGCCCTGGTAGGCCATTTAAGAAGAAGAATGTAACTGGTAAGGCCCTTATAATTAATAACCCTTTACAGACCCAAGTGAGCTCAGGGACAGTAGAAACAGTCCTCTGCAGATATCAACATGGCCTTAGTAAGTTCTATAAAGGGGCCCAAGGTCAGACCTACCATAGCAAAGCCCTGCAAACATCATTGCAGCCTTGGTAAGCCCTGAGAAGGTGCCGGAGGGTGGACCTGCCATAGTAGACACCCTGCAGATATCTCTGTGACCTTGATGAACTCTGGAAAAGTGCCTGAAGGAGGATTCACTATAACCGATCCTCCTCATAGACATGACCTCCCGCAGCTCACTGAAGGTCCAGCTACAGATTAGTTCCTTCTGACATACAGCATCATCTATTGAATGTTGAAACCCTACACCCTTAATATTTAGAAAGCAAATAATAGGGAGCACTCTACCACAGAAAGAGAGCAAATCTTCAGAACCCAATCACAAAGACAAGGAAGATCTTTTCTTCCTAATAGATATGGAGTTCAAAATTGCCATGGTAAAGAAATGGAAGACAACACAGAAAAGCTGACCAAAGAGAGAAAAAAAAACCCACAAACCTAAGAATAACAAACAAATGTCCTGAGAAACAAAATTAACAAGCAGAAGGTCAAAATTGATGCTTTAATGTAAAAAGACCAATAGAGGAGATTAAAAAAAAAAAAACTGGAAAAAGAGATGGACGTAAATCGATCAAATGGAGATAGAATCAGTGATCTTGAAAATGACAATGCATGAATAATCCAGGTGGAAGAAAAGAGGCATATGAAGGAAAAGAAACAGATATTTGAAGAATTATCCAACTTCTTGAGGAAAGGCTATATAAGAATAATGGGTATCCCATAGGAAAAAGAGGAGAGAATGGAACAGAGAACTTATTTAAAGAAATAATAAATAATAGAGGAAAACTCCCCAAATTTGGAGACGGAACAAAATACACAAGTACATAAGTCCATGAGGTTAAAAGAACACCATGGTATCTAAACAGAATGAGACCTACAACAAAAAAACATAATAATAAAACTTCCAAGAGTTCATGGTAAAGAGAGACTATGGAAGATGGTTATGGTGAAGTAGCACATAACCTATAAAGAAACCCCAATCAGGCTTACATCTGACTTCTCTGAAGAAACACTATAGGCAAGGAGAGGATGGAATGATGTGATCAAAACACTTAGAGAGAAAAATGCTAGCCAAGAACACTCTATCCTGCAATGCTCTTATTCAGATATAAAAGAAAAAAATAAAAGCTTTCTTAGACAAACAGAAGCTGAAGGAATTTTTAAACACTGACCTCCACTGCAAGAAATGCTGAAAGGAGCTCTTGTATCTAAATAGAAGAGAAGAACATGCAAATAGAAGTGAACAAGGAAATAGAACCACAAAATTAAGGCTAAAATGGCAATAGAAGATGTTCCTAGATCAGTACTTACTCTAAATGTAAATGGACTGAACCCAGCAATTAAAAGGCATGCAATTTCTGGTTGGATTAAGAAATAAAATCAAACTTTCTGCTGTCTTCAGGATATGCATCTGAATTCCAAAGATAAACATGCTCAAATTGAAGAGTTGGAAAACAATCCTATAAGCAAATGGGAACCAAAGGAAGGCAGAATAGCTTTTCTTATATCAGATAAAATAGATTTCCAGCTAGAAAAGGTATATAATGATTAAGGGAATAGTACATCAGGAGGAAGACATAATGCTCATCAAAAAAAGGAGCATCAAAACAAATAAGGCAATCATTATCTAATTTGAAAATAGGTATTGGGAAAGACACATTTGTGACTGAGAACTTCAAAACCCCTTTAACATGAATGGACAGATGAACCAAATGGAAAGTAAACAAGGACATAATAGTCTCAAAAAATTAGGCCACATGTGCTTATTAGATATTTATAGGGCGCCATGCCCCCCAAAGAGCTGAATACATATTCCTCTCAAGTGCACATGAGACATTCTGCAGGATTGACCACATATGGGGTCACAAGGCAAGTATAAACAAATTCATGAAGGTTGAAGTCATACCAAGCATCTTCTTTGACCACAATGGTATCAAACTAGAATCAACCACAAAAAGAAAGCAAGAAAACCTCTAATATATGGAGACTGAACAACATACTAGTGAGTTACTGTTGGGTTAATGAAAAAAAAAAGAAGAAATGAAAAAAAAAAAACCTCAGGAAAAATGATAATGAGGACTCAACCTTCTGGAACTTAGGGAAAAAGCAAAAGCAGTACTAAGAGGCAAAAGCAGTACTAAGAGGCTACTAGGTAGCAATACAGGCCCATACCAAGAAATAAGAAAGAGGGCCTCCCCTGGTGGCACAGGCAGTTGAGCGCCACACCATGAAGCTGTCTGCAGCCTTTGCAGCACTGGTTTGATCCCAGCCAGCCAGCGAGGATCCCACATGGTGCCACAGACCTCTCCTGTCGCGCCTGCTGCTCCCCTCAGCAGTGTATTTTGTCAGTCTGCCTGTTCTGTTCCCTGCTCTGTCTCTGGTGAATCCTCTCACCCTCCCGCGCATCTGGCCTGTACCCTGGTTCTTGTATAAATAAATAAATCTTAAAAAAAAAAAGAAACAAGAAAGAACTCATATAAGTAATCTTATCTCTCATCTTAAGGAATTCTAAAAGAAAAAAGTCAGCAGTAGGAAGGAAATAAAAATTAGAGCATAAATAAAATCAGCAATAAAAAGTACAAAAGATGAATGAAATCAAAAGCTGGTTCATTGAAAAAAAATCAATATAATACACAAGCCTTTGGTGAGACTCACAAAGAAAAGGGAAAAAACTCAAATAGGGTCAGAAATGGAAAAGGAGATGTTACAATATACTTGTCAGAAATTCAGCAATCATAAGAAATTACTGTGAACTTTTGTATGCTAGTAAATTGAACAACCTAAAGGACAAATTCTTAGAATTATATAGCCATCTGAGTTTAAATAGGGAAGAAATAGAAAAACTGCACAGAGCAATTACTATCAAGGAAACTGAAACAATATTCAAAACCTTTCCCCAAAACAAAAGCTCAGAACCATAGGGTTTCACAAGGGAGTTCTACCAAGCCTTCAAAGATGAGCTAATATCTGTCCTTACTTTCAAAAATATTGAGAGAGATGGAATGTTTCCAGACAGTTTTTAATGACGCCAACATTACCCTAGTACCAAAACTAGAAAAAGACAACACACAAAAAGAAAACTACAGACCAATTACCCTGATTAACATAGATGCAAAATTCCTCAACAACATCTTTGCAAACTGAATTCAACAGTGCATTAAAAGGATTGTACTCCACGACCAAGTGGGATTTATTCCCAGGACACAAGGATGGTTCACCATCCAAAAATAATAATTCACCACATCAATTAAAAAAAAGATAAAAATCATATGATCATATCAGTGTATGCTGAGAAAGCATTTGACCAGATTCAATGCACAATTAAGATGAAAACCCTAAAAATAAGTAGCAGTAGATGGAAGATATTCCAACATAATAGAGGGCATATGACAGACCCACAGCTAACATCATCCTCAGTGGTGAAAAACTGAAATCTTTTTACAAGATCTGGTATAAGATAAGGATGTCCTCTTTCACCATTACTCTTCAACATAGTATTTGAAGTCCTAGCTAGAGCATTTAAGCAAGAGAAGGGTATAAAAGAAATCCAAATTGGGAAAGAAGAAATAAAGCTATTAGTATTTGCAGATAACATGACAATATACATAGAGAACTCTAAAGATTCCATTAAAAAACTAATTGAAACAATAAATCTTTTCAACAAAGTGGCACATTACAAAATCAATGCACATAAATCAGTTGCCTTCCTATATGCAAACAATGAGTTAGAAGAAAAAGAAATCAAGAAAAACAATCCAGTTTACAATGGTATCAAAAAGTATTAAGTACCTAGGAGTAAACTTAACAAAGGAGGTGAGGGATCTATCCAAAGAAAATTACAAGATATTGTTAAAAGAAATAGAAGAAGGCACAAGTGGAAATTTATTTCCTGCTCATGGATTGGAAAAATTAACATTGTCAAAATGGCTATGTTACTCTGAGCTACATACACATTCAATACAATTCCTACCAAAGTTCCAATGATGTTCTTCAAAGAAATAGAGCAAGCATTACTGAAATTCACATGGAACAACAAAAGACTCCAAATATCCAAAGCTATCTTCACAAAAAGAGGAAAAATGCCAGCATCACATGCCCAGGCTTCAAACTATACTACAAAACTATAATAATCAGAACAGTATGGTACTGGAGCAAAAACAGACACACAAAACAATAGAATAGAATTGAGAGGCCAGAAATGCACCCATGCCTGTATGGACAGTAAATCTACAACAATGGAGACAAGAACATACACTGGGTAAAGGGAAGCCTCTTCAATAAATGGTGTTGGGAAAACTATATAGATGTATGCAAAAGAATTAAATTAGACCACTATCTCACATTATACACAAAAATCAACTCAAAATGGTTAAAAGACCTGGATCTGAGACCTGAAACCATAAAATACACATATGAAAAGAGGCTTCAGGCTTCACAGATGTCTTTGTGGACTCGTCTCCAACAACACAGAAAAAGAGAATACAAGCCAAAAAAAGAAAGAAAAAGAAAGAAAAAAAGAAAGAGCAATTTGACTATATCAAGCTAAAAGGTTTTTCCATATCGAAAGACACTAACACTAAAACAACAAAGTGGCCTATGGAATGGTAGAAAATACACATAATACATCCAAGAAGGAACTTGCAAGACTGGCAAATTTCTCATACAACTCAAGGAAAAAAAAAAAAAAACAATCCAATTGAGAAATCGGCAGAATAGCTAGAGGCACTTCTCCAAAGAAGACATACAGATGGCCAAAAGACTTCTGAAAAATGCTCATCATTATTTATTATCAGGAAAATACAAATCAAGACCACAGTGAGATACCATATCACACCTATGAGAATGACCCACATTAAAAAGAACAAGTGTTGGTGAGGGCGTAGAAAAAGAAACCTTGTTATACTGTTGGTGGGAATGTAGACTGATCCAGTCCCTATGGAAAACAGTATGAAGGTTTCTCAGAAGAAAAATTGAATCTACTGTATCACCCAGCTATTCCACTCCTATGTATCTACCCAAAGAATGCAAAAACATTAATTTGAAAGAAAATAAGCACTCCTATCTTCATTGCAGCACCACTGATAATAGCCAAACCTTGGAAACTACCTAGGTGCCCAAAACAAATGAGTGGATCAGACGATATATACACACACTATGGAATACTATTAAACTATCAAAAAAGATGAAGTGCTGCTGCTACTTGTGACAACATGGATACAACTTGAGGGGGTTATGCTGAGATAAGTCAGAAGGAGCATGATAAATACTGGATGGTGTTACTTTTATGTGGAATATAGATAAACAAAACAAAGGGTCAGATAAAGCCAAAATAACAATAATCTCTAGAAACTTGACTGTAGAACTGAGACTTCTGGGGTTGGGGGGAGGTGTGAGAACAGTTGGGAGCATAGTAGACTGTGGGAATGGACTCTGGATGGTACGGTGGTAAGTGTGGTATAGTAACAACACCTGAAGGGGGAGATCATATACTGCTAAACCACAATGTTGTTAACCAATGGTACCTCAAAAAAATTGCTAACATGGTAGCATGGCTTTCCTATTATGTGTGCAACAAAATCCAATCATCGTTTCTTTGTTAAATGTTTGTATTTTCCAGCTTTTTGAATTACAAGTAATGGGCCAATGAATATACTTAGAATCTTTTTTTTTTTTTACATCTCCCTGAAAATGACTTCTGAAAGCTGAATATTCAGTTCAAAGAATAAACATATATAAGACCCTTTATATTAAAAAATTACAATTCAGGAAGGCTGGATCTTTCACTCCCACCATGAGAATATAATTCACTTGTGTCTTTACAAAAGTGTGTATGATAATATAAGTCAGTCTCTGCCAAAAACAAAGTTTAATCAGAATTGCCATTCTCTCCTGGTGATGACATATGTTAATAAATGGCTTCCTTTGTGGAAACAAAGACACAAACAAAATATATTTTAATCAAGAAAAATCAAGAGACAATAAAAGTTTATGTGCCTCCTAATGGAAGTATGCAATTCCAACTTGAAAAATAATCAAACCAGTATCTGATCAAACCTCTAGATTCAACTACCTATTTTCATGAGGTAAAAGGAACAGGGATAATCAACTGATTTCTTAAACAAAAAAACTACAAGATGAAAACAATGTGGTAGAGTAACCTCTGTAGATTAAAAATGACATAGGAAACATGTCAAATAATCTCAATGGTGAATGTGGTAGTTTCCCTAGAAAGAGGGTCACCATCTCCATTCATGTTCTCCTATGAAGACAGGGGGATCTTTTTCATCTCCTTTGAATCTGTGTTTGCTCTAACTTACTTTGACCAACAGAATGTGGTAAAAATGACTCTGTCCTGGGCTCATGTGTTTTCTGTTTCTTGGAGCACTCAGCTACCATGAAAAGAGAAAACAATTACTCTGCTGGAGAGAATGCATAGAAACAGAGGTCGGGCCCTCTATCAATCCCTATCAAGACCTCTAGCATGAGAGTAAAGCCTGCATTATTCCAGCCCAGTCAAGATGTCACCTGAACACAGCTGAATGAACCAGAAGAATCATGCAGTCAACCTAAAGAAACATGCAAAATAATAAATGATTATCTACATGGACCAATAATAGAATTTTCACTGAAGTCTTTCTAATCTCAAGAATTATAATTCTCAACAAGAAACAAGAAATGGGAGATAAGCTACATTGTGGAAGGAACTAGAAGGAAGCACAGGTAGGAAGAAAAGTCAACTAAACAAAAAAATAAAAAAGGGCAGTATGGAGCCCTGTTGACCATGAGACCTTGAAGAAAGTACTGAAAGTAATGAATGTCCCAAATGCAAATATCCTTTTTTTGTACCAATAGGGCATGAATGCTAGATGTTTGTATGGCATGTGCAGGATGGGAATTGTTGGGCATAACCTCTTGAGGGAAGGTTATGACTACGTTATCAGTAATTACAACTAGCTAATAGACATCTTCAGTGGCTTACTGTCTGCGGTAGCCAACTATTTCAAAGGGAAAGTCACATGAATACATTTTAAAAATGAAAAAAAATCTTTAAAATAAAATATATGTATTTAGGCACTAATTATTTATTTTAGAGTTTTAAAAAGAATAGGAGCAACATAAGAAAAACTAATGACTAGATAAAACTGGAATCAGTTTTCACTATCTGCCCTTCTTACCTTATTCTGGAATAAACCATCATGTTTGGAATCCTTTTCAAACTTTGAGGTCAAACTCAGTGCCTCTTTTCCTTATGTAGCACTCCTGGAATCTCCCTAATAATAAAAACTATAAACATAATAGTAAAATTCAGAAAAAGAGTCTTCTCTTCATGCCTTACGTTTTATCTTCTAGTTAGTTATTCTTGGAGATTTAAAAGCCCTTTGAAGTTAAACCTGTCTTGATTTTTTTGTAGGTCCACATTGACTAGCAGAGTATGTGCTATATATTAACGCTCAATAAATACTTGTTAAATCGCATTTTGCCTCACCTTCAGAGCCTGCAGGATCTCTGAGCTGCACCATTGACTGGTTCTAGTATGGTATGAAGTCCCACCAGCTTCCATTCCTCTTCATAGTGAACAGAAAGTGTATTGGGTCTGCCTAGTGCGTGTGTGTGTGTGTGTGTGTGTGTGTGTGTGTGCGCGTGCGCGCGCGCGGCGAGTGCTCCTTCCCTACCCAGTCTATCTCTGGGGATTTGGCTCATTGTCACCTCTTGCTTATGTGTTCTTGTTAGAAAAACCCATCAAATATGGGTCAAACCTAAAAGCATTTTTTTATTCACACTTTAGGATCTTACCTTTCTGCTAATTTATTACAACTAAGATAGGACTTGTGAAATTCTCTTTTTACACTTTTGTGTTTCTTCTCTTATATTAGGAAAAATAGGTGATTGCCATTGCATAGCTTCTTTTTCTTTGCAGGCCTCAGGTTTTTGCTTTTTGTCTCTTGCTATAGACTTCAGAATAACAGGTTCAACTTTGTTTTCTGAGCTTTCTGAAATGTTTCTGATTGTAAGAGCATAGAACAGTAATTAAATGCTGATTTAGGGAGTGAGTTTCTTTTGTCCCATTTCATCATCAAGGGAAGAAAACAGTAACAACATAGCCATCAATCTGTGGGACTGTAAGTTGCTAATGTAAGGTTTTCATTAAAAACTTTTAATCCACGGTACTTGAAACTATACTATCAGTACTTGGAATTTTCTTTGGCTGTGCCAGAGCTTCCCAGGAGGATCCTCACACTGCCTAAATGGCTTGGAGACAGACAGGATAATGCTACACACTTCAGGGTTTCCTTACATCTTCACAGGTGCACCCTGTATAGCCTCTGGGTCCAGGTAAAATGCTGGCTTGGGTGGTTGGTTTGAAATGTGATCCTCGCACACATCTGCTGAGGACACTGACTATGGCAGAGAAAGTGACCCTCTCCGAGTTTTATTTGGGTCATAAAAATTCATGCTGAGCACCACCTCTTTAAGAATCTGTGCCATTAAATGTGGTTAGATCCAGAGTACACTCTGGAGGAAGCCAGAGAGGACATTAAAATGCTTAGTCTATGACACACTTCCTTATTTTTGTCATTTTGACATTTATGTGTTGTTTCATTAGGGATTTTTAAGAGAAGACCCTTTTTCGGCAAAAAGTTTTCCCCAGATCTCCATAAGAATCAACAGTTTATAATCAAACAGCTGTCTGGTTTGCATTTAACTGAGCTGGACCACCTGCCGGCTGTTAACCTCTGGAAGGTTATTATGATACAATTGTTGTTGTTTGTTTTAAAAGTTTCAGAGCTCAAGGAAAATATTAGTAATGAGTTACTTAACCTGCAGTGTTTACTGTTCCCACTCAACTTGCAGATGGTGTTCCAGTGGCCAGCAAGAGGGAGGGCTCATCTGAGGCCAACGCTATTTTGCACTTGTTTTGGAGACGAACCATAAAAATAGGCTTGGCAGTGAGGAGGACTGCTCTTGTGGGAGGAGGGATGGGCAACCTTACAAAAACCTTTTAAAAGGAAACACAACCGTTTCTGATGACTAAGGTTGAGAGGGGCAATCTCAGCATAACCCTCGGTTCTGAGCACAGTAAACTTGAAGCTGAGGTCACTGGAGCAGCAGATCTTTGGGCACATTTGCTTCAGCCTTGACATTTCAAGGCTTGCTCACCATCTGCTTTCCTCACTCATAAGCACACCCCTCTGACTAATGGAAATGATGGCTGCAAATTCTCTCAAGTGGTCATGTGGGTACAATTTTCTAGACCTTGTAAAAATCCAGTCCCGTGGACACCCTTGTGTAGGCTTTGATTACAAGACTGTCTGCCTCCACTCAGGACTAGGGGGTCCAAGAGCTAAAGCATCATTTGCAGAGGTGGGGATGTCTCTGTATGAGTGGGTGAGTGTTTCCCTGACCAGATAATGGACCACAGAGGACAGGACTTTGCTGGAATAGATCATTCATGAAGATTGGGGTTTCATCTATTTTGTCCCCGTCTTCATCCCCAATGCCTAGAGCAGGGATTGGTGCGTGGCGAGCATTCACTAAATATTTAGTGTAAGAAAGAAAGAATGGATTTTTTTTCCCCTTCACCATCTCCTTATTTATCCTTCAAGTAATAGTGACTACTAGTGCTCAATTAGTATGGTTGACTCTCAGCATTCATTATCACAAGATTCCCAAAATTCCCCAAATTTTTGTTATAGAAAACTGGCCAAGATATGATGGGTTCTAGTCCTGTCTCTGCCAGTAGCTAGTTGTGTAACCCAGGACAAGTCATCTCTGACTTTCTCATTTGTAAAGTGAAGGATATACTTATGTTGATTCTAACTAGTAGGGAGCATTCCAAAAAGTAGAACTGTGAGAATCATTATGTTGCAAAGTTTTTATAACCCTGGGATAATTAATGTGAAGTTACTTGATCAGCTGTTAAATATCTTATGAATGTCAGTTCAGTTCATTTTCACTTCAGCACATGCTTATTGAATATCGGCTATGCACCAGGCTCTGTGCGGAGTATGGTTACATACAGAAAAGTAAGGCACAACTACCCCTGAGGAACTTTTAATCCAGTGGAGGAAACTGTCATAGGAACAGAACGCGGTTACTTCTGTGATGGTAAAGCCCATGCTTCTTTATTTTACTCATTGTCCTATTGTTGGCATCTTTTTTATTATTATAAATTAATATATTTGTGTATGTGACTCAGAAACATAGGATTCCACCTTCATAGGTATATGTTATGATGTCACAGCCACCACCAAGGCACCCACAGCCCTCCACCATAATCTATTGGGTTCTATCTTCCCTTTCCTCCCCACTTTCTCCCTCCCCCCTATTGTTGGCATCTTATTAATAAAGGGTTTGGTGGAGATAGAAGTTGGGACACCTGGTGTGGGATTTTCCCCCTTCTCTTGTATTCATGGACAGTTGGCTACAGGCTGTGTTACTAATTTCCTTATTATTAGATTAGAACCATTGTAGGAGACTCATGAAGTTAGTGCCTCTGTCACATCGCATGTCATTGCTCAGGAAAGTGGCAGTGAGCTACTGTCTTCTCTTGCAAGTCTTCTTACTGTCTTCTCTTGCAAGTCTCCTAATAGTCTTAGCAGCTACCATCAATGGTGTCAGGGGGATACAGCTGATGATGCTTGGATGCATATATACACATATACATACACATGAACCCTTTCCTCCTTTGAGGCTCATGCTATCCAATTATTCTGTTTTCTGCTTCTACTTATAGTAATTTTTCATATTCTTCATTATTCCTTCTTTGCTATTGAAGACACTGACATCTTTTAAATCTTCTGTCTCCAAGTCAAATCTTCCATTATCCAGGGTGAAAATAATCCCTATCGGAAGACCCAGTAACACCCACCCAGGCCACTTCAGTCTTAATTTTAACCTCTGCTTGTCTACATCCATCTATTCCTGTGGCTGATCTCTGGACTTTCTTGTCTGCTTTGCTGATGAAACCATTGCCATGATACAATTTCACCTTTTGTTATTAATCTGGAGCCTGTTAGAGCCTCTCTTTCTCAGGTCGCTGGGCATTTTCCAGTTCTCCATTTCTCTTGTTTCTCTCATCTTACTTTCTTCCTTACTCATCCTTGTCCCACGGTCTCTTTTCAAACAGTCTATTATAAGCATCTTCAACTGCTGCTTGTGCTCATTATCCTTTTATCATGTATCTCAAGTAAAACCCCCAACCATGGGCTCCTGACCATTGTCTTCTCCAAGCTAGGCTGCTGAGTAAATAGAACTGCTAAAAATTCAAAATCTCCAATGTGAATGTACTTGGAAGTCTTCTAATTGTTGTCCCAATCATTTCTTTATTTCTTCATCCTGTTTTTCATAACAGCTATAAAAATATTCCACCATCTTTGCATGTCGTAGTTAACCATTTTTTTTTTAAATTTTTTTGAGTAGAGGACCTTGTGTCTGACTTCACAGAGAAAATGGAAAGCATAGTATAGTGACTATCTAAGCTTTCTGCAACTAAACTTATCCACCTGCAACTATATCTTGTCTCCCCCAATAATTCTGCCTCAATGATGCAAGAAAAATAAATCATTCTGAAGTTCAAATATGATCACACCGCCCCATACTTAATGCCTTTCAAAAACTCCCCTCTTGCCTGTGGAAAAACTTCAGGTTTCTTGGTACAACTTAAAATGTTTCTTAATGAGTAGCTCTGGTTTGCCTTTCTAGTTTCATTTATTACTGATCCGTGGTATCCTCAGCTCAGCCTCTATTTTCTAGCTATACACTCTGTAAAAATTCTGTGCTCTTTCTTACCTCCTGATCTTTAAACAGGAGGTAAGATCTTTAATCTTTTTAAAAAAGATTTATTTATTTATTTATGCATACAAGAGCTGGGATACAGGCCAGACAGCAGGGGTGAGGGGATCCACCAGAGACAGAGTGGGGAACAGACAAGGCAGATTGACCAAAGTACACTGCGGAGGGGAGCAGCAGGCGAGACAGGAGAGGTCTGCTGCACCGTGTGGGTAGCTCCCTGGCCGGCTTGGAATTGAACTGGTGCTGCAGAGGCTGCAGACAGCTTCACGGCACTGCACTCAACCCGCTGCACCACTGCCCCCAACCCAACTATTTTTTAATGTCCTAAGTTCTCTGTTCCTCAAGAAACCTTCCCTGGCCATGCCAAGTCCCCAAGTATTATGTACCATTTATCTGTTCTTAATGCATTTTTAAAAAATGTTTTGTTTGGTTTATTCAGTGTTAACCTGCAGTTTTTTTTTTTAATTTATTTTTTATTTATACAATAGCTGGGGTGCAGGCTAAAGGTGCGGCGGGGCAAGAGGATTCACCAGAGACAGAGTGGGGAGAAGAACAGGCAGACAGACTGAAAGCACTGCTGAGGGGAGCAGCGGGCGCGACAGGAGAGATCTGCTGCACCATGTAGGATTCTCCCTGGCTGGCCAGGAATTGAACCCGTGCTGCAGAGGCTGCGGACAGCTTCACAGAACTGTGTTCAACCCACTGTGCCACTGGGGAGGCCCTATTATTGCATATTTTTATTATCTGCTTCACTATAAAATATAGTAAAATCTTTTAAGATAGATTGTCACTAGTTTAACTTTGTCTCTCTGGAGACACCTAGAACATCTGATACTTATAGACACACAAAAAGTATTTACAGAATTAATACTGAGTGAACATGATATCATCTTAGCTGGATATTGAATGGTAGCATTTGAAAGATAGTAACATGAAGAACTATGGGTAATGCATCTCTTGTAGAAGGGATGGTCAAGTAAGCCATATAACTCATGAGATAATGGAGAGAGCAGAAATTTGGGCGATGTATGGGTAGAGGCCTAGAAAACTTTTGAGATTTATAGGATATTAGCTTGTGGATGCCATTGAGCAGAATTTAGCAATCATTTTCATGATCCAATAGCAGATGGCTGATTGGATTGATGAGTTGTCTAATTAGTTGGTCAGTTCAGTGAAATAGTGCAATTGGTATGAAACTTAGGTTTATAAAACTCAATGATAGGCCCACAAATACTCCATCGATATTATTAAAATGAGGAATAATTTAAAAGCAGAGTATTAAATTTCTCTCACTACCAAGTCTTCCTTTAATTCTTCAGGTTCTCAGTTGTTGTCTCTCCAAATATACTGGTATGATTTTTTTCCTGACACGGAGAAGTTGGAGCAAGTATCCCCAAGTTTTTTCTATAAAGAAGCACATAATAAACATAAATAGACTGTGTGGACCATTCTGTTGTTAGCTGCTCAATTCTACCATTGCAACCTAAAAGCAGTCATAAACAATATGCAAACAAACAAGAATGGCTATTTCAATAAGGCTTTATTTATGGATACCAGAAATTGAATTTTCATATGTTGCAAAAACACTGTGTTTTGTTTAATTTTTTCTAGCTATTAAAAACTAAAACCCATCTGTGGCTCACTGTACAAATACAGGCAGAGGACTGGATTTAGTCTGTGGGTTGTAGTATTTTGACCCCTGTGTTAGGAATTATAAACTGAGATGCTCTATCTCTTAAATTTCCTTTTGTTACTTTGGTTTCTTGAGTTTTGTTCTGAACAGATTCCTTGATACCATTTTCTAATTTAAGAATCCTGTTCTTGATTGTGTCCAGTATAGATTTTAAGTTGTCCTTGAGTTTCTTTTATAATTTTAATGGCTATAAGTTTTATTTCTAAAATGTCTAATTGAATTTTTTTCCCTGACATGTTCCTGTTTTGTTTCTGTCCTTGTTTCACAGTTTCTTACTGTCCTTTAAACCAATTATTTCATTTCAATTAAGTATCTTAAATATACTTATTTTAATGTCATCGTCATGCTGTTCTAGAAAATCAGTTTTATCTGGCATAAATTCACATTCCTAGTGATAATTGTTCTCATGTCTTTCTTAGCACTAGATTATCTCTTATATTTTGGAATTTTATTAAACAGGCTCATTTTGAGTAGGTCCCCCCAACTGTAGTTCCCTCTCAGTGACCTCCTCTCCTTGAATAGTAATTTTGTGGTTGCCTCTCTCTTGCCCTTTGCTGCCTCTGCCTCAAGTTCAGAATCAGATCTTAAAATAATATCATTGTGTACTCTCTCCTTAAGAAGATATTGGGAGTGTGGCAGATCTAGGCACTGAGTCAGTGGATGGTTTAGCTAAATTCTTGTTTGTGAAGCTGCATATGCTCCTACACAGCTTCTGCTGTCCATAACCATAGGGTGAAATTAATGAGACAGTAGTCTCTTACTCCTCAAGGAGGCTCAGTTCAGTCCTCGGTTTCACCTCATTTTAAATGGAGCTGAATTCCTATCTACAATGTTGCTTCTAGACTTGAAACTCAGTTGGCCAGTTACTTCAGCTAAGCTCATCTCTTAATATTTCTGGTCCAGGAATGGTTAGCTATTGAACTCAATTATTTATATTATTTTGCAAATTTGGAGAGAGGGATTGTCTCAAAATGTTGGTACTCTTCACCATCTTGATCAGACATAAATTTACTTAAATTTACCTTTGGTCTGACTGATAGGATGTAAGCAGCTCAAGGGTAGCACCTCTGTATACCCTATGGCTACTGTAATTGCCAGTGCTAAGCACAGAATAACTGCTAAATTTAAGATTTATGGGAAGGTTAACCATTGAAGAAGTGATATAGGTAGTAATAAATGAATAATCTAGATGTATATAAAATCAAATCTTGTTCTTTATGCTTGCAATTTTATTTGATGACAGGCATAATTAGTGCCAAACTCACTCATCCATTTATTCCATGTGTTCCATGCTTATAGGAGGTATTTGTGGACGTCGGTATAGCTGTATATTTGTAAGTTATTCTTCTGCCTCCCATTAGCATTTGTCTTTACACCTGTGAGCATAAATAAATCAAACTATATAAATGCCAAGTATTATAATTATTTTTATCACAGCATTATTATGCTACCAGTAATGTCAACTTAAGGTAACAATAAACAGAGGTGAAGCAGTGGCACAGGCATTCTCGATGTCCAGTTTGGCTATTCTTGCCACATGGAATACCAATGTACCAGTGGAACCCTTAACTCAAGTTCTAGCACTCTATAACTTTGTAAAATTGATTTTCTACGTCAAGACTCCTAGGAGTATAGCAGTCTTAACTGTCCAGCCATCTCCCTGGGAATGTCAGCCTTGTAGTATTCTAGGGATCAGAAGCCTGGCAGACTGACCAGGGAAGACCACACATAGAACAGTCTAAGACTCACTGTGTTTCCTTCCTTGTGCAGTTTGACAAGGTTCCAGAGACAACAGCTCCTTCTTATTTCTGCTTTCTTTGGGTCGCAGAGTAAAAGAACTTGCTACTGCTGAGAACTTCCCAGCAAGTTGAGAGGCAGCTGTGTTTCCTGGGGAAGGGGTACAATCTGTCTAGTGCAGGTGTCTCTGTGGAAGTATGTAGAGCTTATTGAACTCATCACAGGGAGATTTACCTAACAGAGAGCCCATGTTAGGTATTATTATTATTATTAAGAGATAGTTTGCTCCCATTAAGAGCCATGCTAAGTGCTGGAGAACAATTTATATTTCCAGCTAGGATAGTAATATTGGGAACTTACTGAGATGACAGAGTAATCTTGTTAGCTAGACTACTTTTCTATATTGAAAACATAAAGTATTCTGCATCAAATCACATAATCTACATTTTCCCTTTCTCTTTAATTTGATTATGAACTATTACCGTGCTTTGCCATAAAATATGAAAGTTTTACATTTTGATAGTTTTTCAAATGCTGATTTTACTTTCTGTGCAAATACTTCATATCATTCCAGCATAATTATTTAGCAGCCTTTTCGGGTTAATTATTGTCATTAACAATATGAGTCCTATGAGGGAATATCAATTAAAATATGCACAGCTGAACTTTCAAATGAGTAAATAATTTAGTTTTGGAAAATGACTGGAAACAGCAGGGTAACAGTCAAAAGGGGAACAATTATTTTAATGCTTATTTGACAAATGAGTCATTTTTACAGCAAATTAGAGTCTTATCATAGCACCCCTACTGGTTACCACAGGAAAGCTGTTAACATGAGTTTTTAAAATAAAAGCTGTTAAGTTATGCATGCAAAGTTAAGGAAATCATTTGTATGAAGAAAAGGTGATTAGGATATGCATTGTTAGCTGATGGAATACTGCCACTGGGATCTAATTAGGGCCATAAATCACACAAAATGATGTGTATATATAAGGTTTGAAGCATTGGAGTGATGCATGCCATTGATGGTAAGATGGATGATTCCACCCACCCTGACTTTCTTGGCTGTCTTCATCTTTGTGATGGCCAGACCCTAAAGTTCTACTTAATGACAGGGTAGAGTGGAAAGCTGAACCACAGGAGTTTACCACTGTAAAGGATGCTTGGTAAATTCCAAAATGGAATGCCCTTCCAGTAGGAAAAAGCTCAGGAAAAACAGATTGGTGGTGATCTTTAGGATAAATAGCTTTGAGTTGAGGTCCAACTTGTGTTTTGTCAACTTAATTTAATTTTAGTTGTTTTTTTTTTTTTTAACCTCAGTGATTGTACAAAGAAAGACAGAAGGGAGGGAGGGAGGCAGGGAAGAGGGAGGAGAAAAGACAGACATTCATAGAAGCCATGTATTATTTCTGAGATATGAATAATTCCTACTCCAGGACCCATATCTTCAATTTAGTATATAGTTGAGGCAGAGCCTACCTGAGAATTTTGGAGTTCTGAAAGCAGATAATGATGTGCTTTCTTTCCCCCATTTCTTTCACTGGTGTGTTTGGATTGAACTGTTTCTCTGGCTCTCTGCTCACTCCATTGTGCCTTGGACCTCATTCCATTGGCCAAAGAATTAATGCCACATTCTTCAATCTGTATGGAAAGTTGACCCCTCTCTGCCCTGGGCAGATTAAGTTGGACTCATGAAACCTATCAGTCATTAAAATCAGAATCCAAGAAATTATCTAGACTGTTCTCAGAGCTGCTGGCATCAGCATCACCCAGGAAATTGTTAGAATTGCAAATTCTTGGGCCCCTCTCCAGATTTACTGAATCAGAATCTGTATAGAGTTGAGACCCAGCAATTTGTGTTTTCACTGGTTCTTCTGGGGACTTCACTGCATGCTCAAGTTTGAGAAACACTGATTTAGTCTAGCTCCCGAAGAACTAAACTGACACTAATTCTTTCAAGGAATTATCAAAAATGAATCCAGAAAGTCTCTAGGATTTCAGAGCTCTTTTGAAACATCAACCCTGTTTTTTTCCACTCCCCCCATCATTCATTGTAGCTATACTCGTGACCGTGCACTTTCAGAGTTTTCAAGATCTTGGTTCTTCCTGGGAAGTGAGGGTAAAACTGCCTTCGGGGAGTCAGGAATTTGGGCAGATTAACTTATAACTGACCTGTTAGCTCATGATCTCTGAATTTTAATATGGTTAGAAAGATTAAAACAAGTAAAATTAATTATCAAAATACTCTTTCAATTTTTCACTGAGAAAAATACACTTACAGTTTTCTAGATCTCTTTCAAAGTGTTCAACTCTGAACTGTCTCCCCTTGTGCAATTTCGATAGGGGGACCCAGACTGCCAGCTCTGACCTGGGCCTGGTAGGCACCTACTAAGCATCTATACTCAAAGTTTGAAGAATTCACTTTCAGGGTCACACGCTTTAGTATCAGCTTGCTGGAACCTTAGCTTTGGAACAAGTAACTCTGTTCCTCCCTAAGTATACTGCCACACCCAATGGGATTCTGACTTCATCTCTTTCTCATCATTGAGAAATAGGACTTTTGTGACTGTCTTGAAACCTGGTTCAAATTACATTCTTTTCTTTTGCCTCCCATCTAATGCTTAGGTCTGAATGGTTTCCTTGAACTATCTACTGTTGATGGAATGAACTTATCCACCCAACATCTCCACCAAACCAGTTCTGCAGAAGGTTCTGGCTCATTGTGATGAAGTTGGGAGGTAGGGGTGAGAAATGAGGGGTCAGGTGGGGCTGTATCAAATTTTTAGCAATTATTACTTGAGGGATTCTATCAAGGATACATCCAGCAGACAAGAGTGGGCATGGAGCTCACATTTTGGAAATGCCGTTTAGATTTCTCCTTTTGTACAAAAAGTCATGTCTAATCGGGACTTGAACAAGGTCACTAAAATCATCTGGTTTGGAGACTTGTAGGAAACATCATTTCCTTTACTTGGCCTCTCTATTGTGACCAAAGCTTTCTTCAACTTCTTTCAGAAAGAAAATTTCCCTTAGAGGAATCGGTGCATTTGCAGTTAGTCCAGTGTCAGTTAGTTGAAGATTTCATTTCACACATGATGAAGCTGAAACCTAGGGATAAAAGGACAAGATGAAGGTCACATGGCTAATATATGGCAGAGTTAGGCATAAACTTAGACTTTCTGATTCCTGGCCAGTGTTCCACAGAGACTTACAGTACCTAGCAAGCCTGGGGAATCACAGTCATAATAAATATCACTTAAACAGCCATATAAGGTACTGCTTTATTAGTCTCATTGTACAGATGAGGAACTAAGATTTAGTTGTGTTCTAGAACTTTCTCTCTGTTACATAGCTGGTTAACCACAGAACCTAGACTCATACCCATAGCTGATGACCCAGAAGTTCACTCATGGACTCACTTCATTGTGTGTTGATGTGAATCATGGCTTCTAGATAAAATTGGTACCACAGTTTGCTTTTTCAATTTTATTATTAATTTCCAGGCCTCATACCTCAAAATGTAGTAGAATGTGAAGAGGCTGTTTTAAGGGCAAGAGTTGTAGAGAATAGCACGATAAGAGAATAACAGAACCCCCTGTATACACATAAAGATAATAAAAAATTCAATCCTGTCTTATCCCCCAGGATTTTTTCTCCTTAGAAAAAAGGCCCCAAATTTTTACATTTGCAGAGTTCTTACTTCACTCAGATCCTTAGAAGAGGCCTGGTACAGCCACGTAAATACAGCAGCTTACACAGGATCCCGTGTAATATGACAGGGGAGTTGGGATTCACAGAGAATCTTGTGTCTGTTAAAACTAGAGCTACTGCTGAAGCATTAATTCCCAGACCCCAACCATATTATGAGCGCATGTGCTCTGCGGCCCTTGCTATAGATGTAGTGCTATGGCAGCAACTGGCATAGCTATTAACACTAGGAGAGATGCTATTTGGAGAAGGCACTCAAGACTATAACCTTAGAATGGCCACGAGAAAGAGTCCATCCATCATTGTCTTTCTGGTGTCTTGGCCCTTCCAATCAGTGTTTCATGCCATACCTCCTGTTTAACTCAGGCTGCAGTTTCCCCCATGAAGACTTGCAAGGCCAGAGGAGCAAATGCCTGAAACATTGGGCTTTTTTCTTCCCCCCCTTCCCCTCCCTGCTCCCTCCCTCTCTCCCTCCATCCTTCCATTCTCTTGCCTGCCTTTCTCCTTCCCTCCCTCCCTCCTTCCTTCTTACCTTCATTGCTTCTCTTCCTCCTTTGCCTTCTTTGTCTCTCCTTTCTCCCTCTTTTTCCCCCTGCTTTTATTTCCTTGACATTTCAAGGGGTTTTTATTTTTAAAAAGTTAGTAGTGAAAAACACTTTGTTCTGCATTAGCGGTCCCATGGCTATGCATACAGCCAGTGAGTGGTCAAATTATTGGTATGAGTCTAGCGAGGGACAGTTTAATTACGAGAGGATCCCTTTGCACAGTGTCCTCATAATCCAGAGGAGTGCCCATGGGGGTGTTGGGTGAAGCAGGCAGGTCCACTGATCTGTGTTTGTGTTAAACCAAGAGTTTCTGAACAAGAATCAGACTTTGTTCTTATCTGGAGGTTCACGCTTCTGATCTCTTTTAAATCTGGGGAATTAGATTCCGTTTCGTAGAGCACTGCTTTCATAATCCCAAATATAGCATTATATATGTTCCCAATCCTTTTTGGAACAATGACACGCAGAGTCAGCCTAACGTTCTGCCAACTCGTAAATCACTTCTTTTAGCACTTTGCACCCCCCCTTTCCCCACCCCTCGCTCTATCTAGTTCTCCACCTTTCTGTGTCCTTGTCAACCAAAACCTTTTCTGGCATGCCATAATTAACCCTACCGTGCTAGTCAGTGTCTTCTAGTCAAACAAAGCGTATCTTTCGTATATTTTTCTCCCTCAGAAGTCTTGATGGGTAACTAAAACTAACATGATGAGTCAATCATCATGAGATGTTAACGCCTGATTTCTGTTTATTCATGACACTCTGCATTTTAGGGAACTGTTGCAACAGATTACTTGGCAATGCAGGAAAGAAGATATCTCAGCATTCAGAGACTTTTCTATAATCTCAGAATTACATAGCACACCTCCTGGGCTGCCATATCATTTCATCTAATTGCTGGGACTGACCTTTTCATGGACTATTCTTTGTTGGTTCTGTTACTTGCTTATGACACCTGTTTTAAATGTAAGAGTCAAAGCAATTCCAAGTCAGCATTGCAAGGACAATTTTTTTTGATTAAGGTAACATTGGTTTACAACACTATGATTCAGAAATATAGGATTCCACCTCTTCAGATGTGTGTTTCCATACCACACCCACCAAGGCACCCATAGTCCTCCCCCACAGTCCGGTGTGACCCCCTCATCCTTTCTTTTCTACCCTCCCCTTCTTCCTCTGTAGCCTCAGTTTTGTAGTCATTCTAGGATTTGTTACTGATTTGGTATTATCTGGCCCTTTGCTCTTTATTTGTATTTCACATATAAATGAAACCACGTGGTATTTGTCTTTCTCCTGAATCATTTTGCTTAGCATTATCCCCTCTAATTCCGTCCATGTTGTTGCAAATGGCAAATTGCTGAGTAGTGTTCTGTTGTGTATCTATACTACATCTTTTTAAAAATATTTATTTATTTATGCATACAAAAACTGGGGTACAGGCCAGAGGTGTGTGGGGGGTGAGAGGATTCACCAGAGACAGAGTGGGGAATAGAACAGGCAGATTGACTGAAAAACACTGCTGAGGGGAGCAGCGGGTGAGTCAGTAGAGGTCATTTGTGCCATGTGGGTAGCTCCCTGGCCGGGGATCGAACTTGTGCTGCAGTGGGTGCGGATAGCTTCATAGGTTGCGTCTTAACCCCTTGCTCTGCCAGGGAAGCCCTATGTCACATCTTCTTAATTTGCTAATCTGTCCTTGGGCTCTTAGATTGTCTCCTAAACTTGGCAGTTATAAATAGTACCACAGTGAATTAGGAGTGCATATATCCCTTTGAATTAGTAATTTTGCATTCTTTGGGTAGATACCTAGGAATAGAGCTACTAGATCTTAGAGTAGATCTATTTTTAATTTTTGAGAAACTTCTTTTCCACAAGGGCTGTGCCAGTCTGCATTCCCATCAACACTGTACAAAGTTTCCTTTTTCTTTACTTCCTTGTGAATACTTTTTGTCCCCGTGAGGCTTTTATAAGACTTATCAGAGCAGTCTTTGAGATAACTATGTGGTGATTGGAGATTTACTTTGACAATGCCTCAAAATGTGGTCCCAGATTTTCCCAGTATGTGTGACCTTTGAGATGGGTGGGAGAATCTGTGATTTGGTGCTCTAGAAAAAGTGAGAGTTCAACCATCTTTCTATCTTATATGGCACCTCTTACTGGTTTTTGAGTAGCAGTGGTTACATTCATATATGTAGAACAAGTAGACTCATCAGACATTTAAGAATTTGTGGTAAATAGGTATAATGTGAGTACATGGACTAGAAGTAGAAGCTGAATGAAAATTAACTACTGGCCACTACAGGGGTAATTTTTCCCCCTTTCAGTCAGTCATTCAAACAACATTCATCTTGATTGAACACTCATTTCATTAAACTCAAGGTGAAACTAAACTCAAGTAACTAAACTCAAGTAAGCTATGTGAAAACTTAAAACAAATGTCAATACTGGCCTTATTCTCAAGGATCTCATACTATCATACTATCTCATACTCATCAGTGCAGGAATTCCCAAAGAAACATGGTGTGAACAAAAGAATCATCAGAAATATCCAGAGTTTTTCAAAAAAAATCAAATATTTGGGAATAAATCTAACAAAAGAGGTAAAGGACCTATACAAAGAAAACTATAACACACTGTTAAAAGAAATAGAAGAAGACACAAAGAAATGGAAAGACATCCCCTGCTCATGGATTGGAAGAATAAACATTATTAAAATGGCCATCCTACCAAAAGCAATCTACAGATTCAATGCTATTCCAATCAAAATTTCAATGTCATTCTTCAAAGAAATAGAACAATTATTGATGAAATTCATATGGAATCACAAAAAACCCCGAATTGCCAAAGCTCTCCTGAAAAAGAAAGAAGGGAATGGAGGCATCACACTCCCAGACTTCAAACTGTACTACAAAGCCATAATCATCAAAACTGCATGGTATTGGAACAAGAACAGACATACAGACCAATGGAATCGAATAGAAAATCCAGAAATAAACCCACAGATCTATGGTCAACTAATCTTTGACAAAGGAGCAAAGACTATGCATTGGAGCAAAAAAAGTTTGTTCAATAAATGGTGCTGGGAAAACTGGGTCGCTACATGCAAAAGAATGAAGCTTGACCACTACCTCACACCATACACAAAAATCAACTCAAAATGGATTAAAGAACTAGACATAAGACCTGAAACCATAAAATATATAGAAGGAAATATAGGCGAAACACTACGTGATTTGCACATCAAAGACATCTTTACAGACACATCACCCAAAGCAGTGATAGTGAAGGCAAAGATAAACAGCTGGGACTACATCAAATTAAAGAGCTTCTGCACAGCAAAAGAGACAATAACAAAAACAAAGAGAAACCCCACCGACTGGGAGAACATTTTTGCACCCAACACTACTGATAAAGGACTGATCACAAAAATCTGCAAAGAGCTGATGAGACTCAACAACAACAAAGAAAATAACCCAGTCAAAAAATGGGCAGAAGAGCTAAAAAGAAACTTCTCTGATGAGGAAATGCAAATGGCCAACAGGCATATGAAAAAATGTTCAACATCACTTGTAATCAGGGAAATGCAAATCAAAACTACCATGAAATACCATCTTACACCAGTGAGAATGGCACATATTAAAAAAACTAGCAACAAGAAATGTTGGCGAGGTTGTGGAGAAAAAGGAACTCTCCTGCACTGTTGGTGGGAGTGCAAACTGGTCCACCCACTGTGGAGAGCTGTGTGGAGCTTTCTTGACCTACTAAACATAGAGCTTCCATATGATCCAGCAATTCCACTCCTAGGTATTTACCCAAAGGACACAGAAACATCCATTCCAAAGAGCACCTGCACACCTATGTTTATAGCAGCACTGTTTACAATAGCTAAGCTTTGGAAACAGCCCAAATGCCCAAAAATAGATGACTGGATCAAGAAGATGTGGTACATATACACCATGGAATATTACTCAGCATTCAAAAAAGATAAACACATGCAATTTGCGGCAACATGGATGGCGCTAGAAGGGATCATGCTCAGTGAAATAAGCCAAAAAGAAAAAGAAAAATACCGGATGGTCTCACTCATAGCAGGAATCTAGAAAACTTAAATAAGGGACCAGGAAAATGAATAACTATAAGAAAGTGAAAATCAAAATCAACAAAAAACTATGAACCAGAGACACTTTTTGGGGGGTGGGGGGAGGGAGGGGAGGGATTGGAGTCAGAATGGGGGGATTGCAATTGTATGGGGAATATAAAAATAAAATTTATTATAAAAAAAAAATATCCAGAGTTTTTTTTTTCCTCAAAATACAGTTGCTTTGGTATTAATCTGTATCTTCTGGATAAAATCAACAGGAGCAAAGCCATCCTGATATTTGTCCCTTGAAAGCACTTCCATAGGTTATTCTGATGCACATGCCTATTTAACAAGATAAGGTTAACAAGATAAGGTTCAGAGTCAGGTGGAAGGTCAAATAGACAATGGGCCATAGATGAGATTGCCTAGTACCACTCTATGGACTAGTGATCTGAGAGCCTTGGAGACAAGAAATCTGAGTTAGGTTTTGACAGATGGATTTGTAACAGAACAAGATAGGAGAAGGACATTTCTTCCTTTTTGCTAGTCATTATTTTCCAAAATGTTTGAACCATTAAAACCACACTTTAATATTTTGAAGAGACACATCCCCAAACCTTATCTCAGAGCTAGAGGATCATGTTTTCTTGGAGCAGATCCTAGACTGTGTTTTAAACAACTGACTCAGATAATTCCAGGAGTTAAACAATTTTGTCAAATATTGAACTATTTAGTAATTTTGTTGAGATTTTCAGATTGTGCTTGAGAAGCAAGATATGAGGCAGTCTGGCACTAGTGTGTCGCTTGCGAGTTGGTGGGGTGTTTCCAGTATGGTAGGCCTTCCATGACAGACCAGAAACTTTGAACTTTTAAAGTATAAGAGTGTCTTTAAAGCTTTTTTTAAGTAGGGGAATTCCAAGATAATTTATTATTTTGAGTTATCAGCCTGATAAAGATTCCCAAAGAACAGGTGGGGGGAGAGGAAGAAAGAAGTTTGGATAGCTTGAATCTTTTGGAGTGAAGAGCCCAAGGAAGAATTACAGATGTTGTAAGATACAGATTGGAACTTATAGGCAGAGGGTGAGCAGTGGGATCAGCATGTCTGCTTTCATTTGCCAGCCCATGGAGAGGGCCTTGAGGGGCTGGATTTAGTTTTATAGTGTATGAGTGCTGCTGCGGGACAGGAAGTCTCCCTTTTTGCATGGGGAATTTCTGACCAAGACTATGAGAATGGGGTATTTTGCTGTCATAAGGATGCCATGCTACGAAGGAAAGACATCTTGCAGTAAATGTCCCTGGCTCGGAGAGGTGACATACCTGTTCTGATAGCATCTGAAGACTAGTTGGGAAGATGAGATTGCTGGGGAGAGGAAGAAACCACTGATCTAGCTGGTTCTTTGCCAGGCAATTTAGAAGGAGCTGCCAGAGTCAGCCAGGGGTAAACCTAGTTATTTCTCTTAGAGCATCTCCCAAGGAGGGAGGGGTGGGTGGGTTGGGAATGGAGAGTATACTTTTCTTCTGATGCTAGCCCTTAATCTCAGTGTTGTGCAATTCTGTAAAGGAACAACTAAGGAAAAACACTTTCCAGGAAATCACTCAGTGAAAGCCCCTTCTCCCTCTTACATCATGGGTGTTTCAGTAGGTGGGACAATGTCAGAATGTTTTTAATTATAAGAGGCCACACCTTCAAGTAAGCCACTCTTCAAATTCCTTCCCAGGCAAACTCAGCACTCTGTAAATAAACTTGAAGTCACTTTTACATAAAAGTATTGAATGTACTGGCATCTTCTCTGACAATGGGGCAAAAGAAAATAAACAGAATCTCCTTCTGTCAGCTAGGATTGTGTTTATCTACACGCTACAGAAAACTGGATTTTGATGGCTTAAACTAACTCAGAGTTTGTTTTTCTCTCATAACAAAGTCAGAGGTAGGTGATTTCTGAAGTTAATGCAGAGACTCAATAATATCAAGGTTGACATCTCAGGGTCCTTTTGGTTGACCTTGCCCTTTTGGTCCTTGGCAAGTCCAGCTGCACCTGGGTGTTCAAGGACACAAGCAGGTGGAGTCTAAGGAGGCCTATGAAGCACAGTTCATCTCTTTTGAATATTTTTTTATTAGTGAGATACTCTTATTTTACATCCTTATACATTTTTTTTTCCCTCTCAGGTGTGGTCATCTTAGTTCTCCTACCATCAGGACACCTATAATCATTCACCAAATTGTCCATTGTGTCCTTTTCATAAGAACAATAAAAGTATTAAGAAGCATCTACTTACCATCTTACACAAGTGAGAATGGCACATATTAAAAAAACTAGCAACAACAAATGTTGGCGCGGGTGTGGAGAAAAAGGAACTCTTCTGCACTGTTGGTGGGAGTGCAAACTCGTCCAACCACTATGGAGAGCTGTGTGGAGATTTCTGGACCTACTAAACATAGAGCTTCCATATGATCCAGCAATTCCACTCCTAGGTATTTACCCAAAGGACACAGAAACATCCATTCGAAAGAGCACCTGCACCCCTATGTTTATAGCAGCTCTATTTACAATAGCTAAGCTTTGGAAACAGCCCAAATGCCCAAAAATAGATGACTGGATCAAGAAGATGTGGTACATATATACCATGGACTATTACTCAGCATTCAAGAAAGATAAACACATGCAATTTGCAGCAACATGGATGGCGCTGGAAGGGATCATGCTCAGTGAAATAAGCCAGAAAGAAAAAGAAAAATACCGGATGGTCTCACTCATAGCAGGAATCTAGAAAACTTAAATAAGGGACTAGGAAAATGAATAACTATAAGAAAGTGAAAATCAAAATCAACAAAAAACTATGAACCAGAGACACTTTTTGGGGGGTGGGGGGCGGGAGGGGAGGGATTGGGATCAGAATGGGGGGGTTGCAATTGTATGGGGAATATAACAATAAAATTTATTATTTAAAAAAAAAAAGAAGCATCTACTTCTGACCCAGTACAACTCTTGTCCTTGGCCCAGATCTGGACATATAGTCACATCTAACTTTTATGAAAGTTGAGAAAATGAGTTATTTCTCTTTTCAACCTTAATGGAGACAATGGCAGGGGATAAGCTGGTTGGAAATGTCTTTTGAGTGCCCAACTACCTGGATCTGCTTTACTACTCAGGCTCATTAAATTAGAGCAGTAATTCTCAGCCTTGACTGCTCATTAAATTAGAGCAGTAATTCCCAGCCAAGGGAGCTTTCAGATGCTGGGGCCACACCATACCCCAGACCAATTTCATCAAGACCTCTGAGATGGGACACAGGTATCAGCATTTTTTAAAGTTTCTTAGGTTAGTTCAATATGCAGCGAAAGTTGAGAACTAAAGATGTCCCCCCTTCCCAGGGTTTTTTTTTTAACAACTTCCTAGGAAATATTGATGCAGGTACCTATCCGTCCTTTCAAAAAATACTGCCAAACTCTCATACATTGACAAATTTATTTATTAACCCAGAAGTATTTACTGAATGCTTCCATGTTTATGGGTGCAAGAGAAAAACGAAAATAAATTTATGCTTTATGCTCTTAAGTTACTTGCAACCTTCTATCGTATGGTACTTTACAATGAAAATACTTTTATATATACAGTCTCTCATTTAAACTTCAGAGCAAGGCTATGAAGCTTTATTGTATTATTATTTCTTGATATTGAAAAAGGTGAAGTGAGCTCTCCAGGTCACTTAGCTTGGAGTTGCTGTGTGGTGGAGGTAGCTCTGGGGAAGGGGTATTCTGTCCACTGGAAGATAAAACCCATAAATATCCAATAACTCTGTCCTTGTGCAGACTGAAACAGGTTTATGCAAATGTGCTCAAAGTGGGTGATGCAGGAATATAACAAATACTAGTTGAACTATTACTGTCTAAAAGCAATATTCTCAGTGATATATTGTATGCACTCATAATCTTCATAAGAAGCCTATTTGAGAGGTACTGTTTTCTCCACATTACTTAGGAGGAAACTAGAAGTTTAATTACTTACCTAAGGTCATAGGGCTAGTAAGAAAATGAGATAGGACTTGAACTCCTGGATCTGGTTCCAAACCTATGTTCTTAATTCTGAACTACCTTGTACAGTTGAACAGGTTTTTCACTGTGTCAGAGGGGCCCCACCAAGAGGTATAGTGGGAACTAAAATTCAGCCCATGCTCAGCTCACCAAGTCTCCACCTGGTCACAGGGCTTTATGCTCCTAGAGTGACAGTGTTTCTGTAATTCTTGCGCACTAACATTGTCTTATGTGTGTATATATCACTCCTTAAATTCATTAACTACAAAGCAAGAGTATGATTGTAGGAATTTTCCTTATTATTGTAAGATTTTTATCTTATTATTCTTTTCCATCAAAACAAAATATTCATGTGGTAAGGAATAGGGTAGTTTTGAAAAATTAAAGCAATGATCACCCACTCTGCCTTCCAAGCCCCACCAGAATTGCTAATTCACAAAACATCCTGTGCCTTGAAGACGCTTTCAGACTGTCTGCCCAAGGGACAACAGTGGCGCTGAATCAGAATATGGAGTCTGGCTTCCCCCGTGTAAGTAGAGCCTCTGAAACTTTCATGTACTAGGAATTGCTGTAACTTTCTATCTGCCCTCTCCTTTACTCTTTTCCTGCTGCTTTTTTTCTCTACCATGTCTATGCCCTTTGCACCGAGAATGGTGTCTAGCACACAGTAGGTATTTAATAAAAATGTGTGAATGAGTAAAGGAAGAGATTGCAATTATAGCTAATATTTATATAGGACCTGACAATTTTCAAAGTGCTCTGCATATAACTAATTCACTCTTATTAATAAATTATGGACTTGATATCATTACTGAATCTATCTTATATATGGAGGTTGTTTTCATGGTATAAAACTAATGTGCCCAGATGGCAAGATGGTGAGCAGGTGCCTATGCTGAAAACAACCGGAATATGCTCAATAAAAATTTAAGAAATCTTTTTGTAATTTGTCTTTGAGCTTGCAAGAAGTAAAGAATGCGTAGCATGGCACCATTGGAAGTGGGAGCCCAAGTTACTCATGAGAGCAATTTTGAAGTAAGACCTCCAAGTCCAAGGTAAGGAGTTTAACAGAAAATCCTCCACAAAGCTGTAATCCAGGGAGTTACTCCCACAGTGGAAGGGCGAATTAAAAATAAAACTAACCGGGCCTCCCCTGGTGGCACAGGCGGTTGATCGCCGCACTGTGAAGCTGTCTGCAGCCTCTGCAGTGCCAGTTCGATCCCGGTCGGCCGGTGAGCGTCCCACCTGACGTGGCAGACCTCTCCTGTCTGGCCCGCTGCTCCCCTCAGCAGTGTATTTTGTCATTCTGCCTGTTCTGTTCCCCACTCTGTCTATGGTGAATCTTCTCCCCCCCACCCCCCGCCACCCCACGCATCTGGCCTGTACCCCGGTTCTTGTGTAAATGAGTAAGTAAATCTTAAAAAAAAAATAAAACTAACAACTCCTTTGTCAACTCTGGGGACATGAAGGAAAACTGTCTCTAACCTGACACTAATAGAAGAAATGCTTAGAAAAAAATGTTCCCCTGAAAATTGATAACTATAAGCCATTTCTCATAAGTATTTGCAGACCAAATTCACATCACCTGGGTGGCCTAAAAAATCTCAAATAAATATTTTTTTTTCTTAAAATTTCCCAGTATCAGTAATGTCTCTACTTACAGAAGCAAACATTAATCTCTTTTAGAGAACTCTGCCTTCATCCTCAGACACAAAAACATTCCACAGGTAAAATCCTAAGAGTTAGTAGCTTTCTATAGTAAAAAGTTATTAAACATACAAGATAATATGACACTATTAATGAGAGCCAGCAGAAGCAACAGATAGCAAAGACCTTATAGAAACCCTTCAGGTTGTAGAAAGATCAGCCACAGAATACAGGATAATATGTTTTATTAAGTGAAATAAAATATGAGTAAAGAGTAAAGGCACTGGTAAAAAGAATTTCTAGAGGTAAAAATATAATATTTTAATGATTTTGTTACATTTAATATTATACATTATGATGTACTTTTTTAATACATTATGATGTACTTTTTATACCAATTCTGTTATAAAGCCTTAATCTGATAAAATTTGCCATTGAGATGGTGTTTGCTTCAGAAAATTCTATTTTTCTTTCCCTAATATTTCTGTTCAGAAAGTAATTTTTACATGATCATGATGTTCTTAGTTTTAAGAACCATCCATTGTGAGAACAAATGCATATTTCTGTTTGATGACTTGATGGTACTCTCTGGGAGATAATGCTTATTCACTCTATGGTGGTGATAATAATTCCACCTTTGTTGTGTTCTGAATAAAGTATGATTAAGACCTGTTTGCTGGGGTTAATATCCCATCTCTACCACTTATTTGGTGTGTGACTTGAAAAAGTTTTTCATTCTGTCTGTGCCTTTGTTTCCTCGTTTACCAAAAAGGGGATACTAATAGTACATGTCTCATAGTGTTGTCAAAGGGGTAAATGAGATATGGATATTAATTTGCATTGATTTGCTTAATTTGCACATGACCAGCACAGAATCCATGTTAACTATGATTGTGATTTTATAGTGTATTAGTGTCTCGTCAGTCCATAAATGATGTTCTGTTAAGTATTCTTAATCAGAAATTATTTGAATTAATATCATTAAAGATGACATCTTCTAATTTTAAGCTGGAAAGTACCTTACAGTTCAACTAGTCCAGTCCCTTAGCTTTGCTGGCAAAAAATCCAGGAGGTAAGAATTTGTATCAGAGACGGTCTTCCTGCTTTCTCGATCTGTAGAAATTCCAGTGAAGGAGCGAGTCAAATATAAGAATTTTAAACATGGGGGAAGGTAAATCAAAACCGTATTCTTCAGGGCCACCCCTGGTGGCGCAGCGGTTGAGCGCGCTGGGCTGTGAAGCTGCCCGCAGCCTGAGCAGCACTGGTTCGATCCCCGGCCACTGGCGAGGGTCCCACATGGCACGACAGACCTTTCCTGCTGCCCGCTGCTCCCCTCAGCAGTGTGTTTCGTCAGTCTGTCTGTTCTATTCCCAGCTCTGGCTCTGGTGAATTTACTTACCCTCCGCGCTTCTGACTGTACCCAGTGCTTGTATAAATAAATAAATCTTTAAAAAAACAACACCATATTCTTCAATATAAAACCACTTGTGTCTCCAGAAACATCATAGCTAAGCTTTGGAAACAACCCAAATGCCCAAAAATAGATGACTGGATCAAGAAGATGTGGTACATATACACCATGGAATATTACTCAGCATTCAAAAAAGATAAACACATGCAATTTGCGGCAACATGGATGGCACTGGAAGGGATCATGCTCAGCGAAATAAGCCAGAAAGAAAAAGAAAAATACCAGATGGTCTCACTCATAGCAGGAATCTAGAAAACTTAAATAAGGGTCCAGGAAAAAGAATAACTATAAGAAAGAAAATATCAAAATCAACAAACAACTATGAACAAGAGACACACTATGGGTGGTGAGAGGCGGGGAAAGGAGGGATTGGGGTAAAAATAAGGGGGTTGTAATTGTATGGGGAATATAAAAATAAAATTTAAATTAAAAAAATAAAACCACTTGTGTCTCAATGAACTTTTTTCTCTTACGGAGTAGGACTGTCAATGGAGCGGGCTAGAACTGCTGGCAGTCACCAGAAGTTGTAGGAAATGATGAGTGTGGGAGCTGCTCTCTCATTTTAATCATCTCTGGGGAGTGGGATTGGAAGGAGGCTGGAGGGCGAATCCTTCATCAGAGATGTACAGGCAGAGCCAGACACTGAGAAAAGGTTGACCAGAAAGGAGAGGTTTATGAGACTGAAGCAAGAGAGAAAGACAAAGAAGGGAGAGGCAGATGGATGGGAGGAGAGAATGTAAAAGAAGAGGAAAAGAGAGGTTTAGACATTTCCCACTATAAGAAGAGAACGTCTGTGGCCAATTTATTAATATTTTAAAATCATGCAACTTCCATGTTATTCTAAAGGCTGTGTACAGTTTTGAGTTTGAATGGATTATAAGACATGCCCCCCAAGCAATATGAAAAACTCTTGTAATGAAACCAATTTGAGTTTCTGTCAAATAACTTTTCATTGTAAACGATGTCTGCTTTGTGTAAGGCATATAGGAAATAGTTTTTGAGCTTTTTTTTTAAAAAAGATTTATTTATTTATGCATATGAGAACTGGGTATAAGCCAGAGGTGTAGGGGGTGAGAGGATTCACCAGAAAGAGTGGGGATCAGAACAGGCAGACTGACTGAAATACACTGCTGAGGGGAGCAGCGGGAGAGGCAGGAGAGGTCTGCTGTGCCATGTGGGTTGCTCCCTGGCTGGCTGGGGGTCGAACTCGTGCTGCAGTGGCTGGTGATAGCTTGATAGTGCTATCTTTAACCCCTGCGCCACCAGGAAGCCCCATGAGGTTTTTTTTTTTTTTTTTTTTTTTTTTTTTTTTTAAGTATCACTATTTACCAGACTGAAAAACCTGAGTATGTTGCTCAGGTAGTTGAGAACTTAAGTAACTAATTAACTCCTCTATAGAAATTAGTTTTTTAACAAGTTCTGCCAGATGTTCTTTTTGAAAATAGCTACTAGGGGATTAGGAAAGTTTGGGCAAAAATGAATAAAATGGAAACTTAACTACTTCTATTTGTAGAGACCTAGGGAAAGAGGCTTCTTTACTCTCTGTTGTCACATGAAGAGAATGGAAGAGACTTTGAGCACTGAATTCATTCCAAAAGCCTGGATAAGGTACCTAGAATATCTGTTAGTGAGACAGAAAGAGAATATATGGGCATTAAGAAGGCCCAAAGTACTATTTGAATTTAAAGGAACTCAGAAGTTTTGGACAAATTGCTGACAAGGGATTTTGATGCCAAGTTAGCTATTCAGTAGGGTGATTTAAAGAAAACTAAGAACAACTGAAAAAGGTACTTAGTTGTATGTTAGATGTTCATTTGTTTAAAACTTACTCTAAAATATGATCTTTGAAATTATTCATTATTGGCTGTTGCTAACTCATATATAGAAGACAATTCTATTTCTACTTTGTATTTTCATTCTGAAGTAATTTGTGCTAGATGACAAGGAAATATATTATTAGGTGACTACAAGTATAGCTGTTTTTAATCAGTAGTGGGAAAAAAAGTTTGGTAAGGAGGCCTAATAAGTCTATATCGAGAGAAGTATTAGTAGAGCTCTACTTCTGAATGTTAGGCAAAGCCCAAGGTTTTTGTTGAATCAGGTGACTGTAGCAGGAATGCCACTTGGTGGCAGCATACTTAAAATGTGCCTACTTGTTTTGAGTTGGGATCGTGAATAAAGTTCTTTTAAAAGTTGAAATACTGGATGGTTTCACTCATAGCAGGAATTTAGAAAATCTGAATAAGGGACCAGGAAAAAGACTAATTATAATAAAGTGAAAATCAAAATCAACAAGCAACTATAAACAGAGACACACTACAGGGGCGGGGATTTGGGGGGAGAGAAGGGAGTAGGATCAAAACAAGCATGGTGGGAATTGTATGGGGACTATAGCCAAGATGAAAATGCATACATTGTGCAAAAATGAAAAATGATGTAAAAAATATATAAAATAAAAAAATTTAAAAAAAGTTGAAACTGTAAAGATTTTGAAGTGACAAAAAGTTATAGCAACAGTGCTTGAATGACTTAAACATGACCAAGAAAATATAAAGTATCTCTTGTGTTACCAAGAGTAAATACAAGACTGAAAGAGCTTTTTTTTTTTTTTTTTTGCTATATTCTGTCTAGATCTTTAAATTGTCTATTTATTTTGGGGTTTTGCCTCAAATTTTTTATTTTGTGTATATTTGAGTTATTTAAAAATTATCTCTTATAGTTGAGTTATTTAAAAAATTATCTTTTATATTTGAGTTACCTAAAAAATTATCTCTTTACTTCCCTTTGGGGCTTGGGAGAGTGGAAAAAAAACAGCTTGAGTTGTGACTTATCAAACTTTTTTAGACCAGGGAAATTATTCTCTCTTTTGGCTCTTTAATCACTGGATCACTGGATCACAGAATTTAAGTGAGAAAAATATGGATATTTA